AGACTGCTGATAAACATACTTCTATATTAATTCTAAATACAAGAATATGTTATAGATAAATTACAACCAGACACTCATCAAATCGACATACAACTCCGAGTTCATACAACTCCAATAGAAAAATTCCTTTATTTTGCTGGATTTTTTTCAGGTGTTTTAACTTTGTAAACATACTAAGGGCTTTATTAAAAGTAGCCAAATATACTCTTTCCTACATCAGCTATCTGCCAGCATAAATCCTGTGGTTAGTTTACCCATTATAGAGTTTAGCTAAAACAAACAGACATTACAAACAAATTCTTTGATCTTATTTATTTGACTGCACTGATGGCATAGTGGTTTAAGCGGTCACCTCACCGAGTTTGATCCCCACATGGGACAACACTTTGTGAGATCCACAAATTGTTGTTCTGAGTCTGGGTGTCCTTTGTGTCCAGTTCATGTATGTTTGTAAAGTTTCCCGCAACACAGGATTTTTCCCTAGTGTGGGAGTTGTTGAAAACAAAATTAAAAAATAAATAAATTAGTATTTAGATCAAGAAATCTAAAGAAGAGAACATAATTAAATTCACCATCTTCATACCCTTTTCATAATTTTTATTTAGGATATGTTTAAAACTGTATTAGATTTTCTTCTATGATTTTGAGAGTTGTGATATAATATGTGATAGAGTATATCACATATTATATCGCAACTTCTTGCTAAATCATCTTTTATGCAGTAAATCCGTCTATTTTTGGTTATCACATACTTTTATACACATCAATTTACATGTGTAAAGCAAATGTACAAATGTAAAGCTGTTTTCAAGTCATTTTGCTAGCTTAAATGTTTCTTTTTTTAAAGTCATAATGGTAGAGTACCAGAAACACAACAGAAAGACGTTTTCTTTCTTTTATAAAAAAAAGGAATTCATCATTTTCTCCTCGCAGTGCATAAGCGAGTTAAGCGTCCCGATTCCCGATTCCCATACGAACATCTGCGGCAATCGTTACGGGTAGTTAGCCCTTAAAAAGTCCGACAACTGTCTTTCTACAGAACTTTGATATATTATATTAGACTTAAAACCGACCCCAACCTAATTTGGGAAAAAAGCTCGGCAGATCTTTTTCTCCTGTACTGGTCAACGATGTCTTCTCGTGTTGAGTTTCTAAACTACACATCATTATACTTCATAAAGCGTAAACTACGTTAAACATTGTCTAAAGGTATTTTAGTACTCTGGATTACTCTATATCTATTATATTTTAGTATATTATAATTTAGGTCCAACCGTCCAAGACCAAGTAATTTAAAGGTGCATTTTGGCAGTTGAGGTTTAGAGTTGGGGTGTCTATAAAACCATAGTGTGAATGATCAATTCCGATTACAAATGAATTTACGATCATCAATCATCGTTATTCGTTTTAAAATAGTCATACTTGTGGCTATTCATTTAGGCTCTTTTTTTTATTATGTTCCACATATATGTTGTGTACGACAAAAATTGCTAATAATACGAAAAAGGATAAGGATCGCGGTGTTCTCGGGTTGAACTAAATTGAGTCGGCACTATTAATTGTGGCTATAGAATGGACCACGAATGGAAACCGGTAATTTTATTTTACTTTTGTTTTGTTCGAAGCTACAAACATATCGATACTTATACGTTACATATACCCACAAACATATCGATACCTTATTTTACAAAACGGCCAACACCGTACGACTAAATTTTACAGGAGACACTAAAAACTTAAATAATTCAAAATTATGTTATATTTCTGATATCTGAAGATCCTAAATCAGGTCTGGTATTATTATGCACCAAGAGGGTGCATAAAAATACCTGACCTGATTTAGTAGTAAACCGTTTTTATTTTACAGAACTAATGAATTGAAATTACTTAAAAATGAACAACGAGATGTCTGGTTTGATAAATGAAATAAATGAATAAAATAAATCAAAAATTTTAATTGCCAATCAAAAAAGTTTAATTTAGTTTTAAATTAATCAATCTCTAAGATCAGTCCTCATGAAGCAAGTTATCTTAATACGTTTGATAATCTATTGGTACGTATTTATTTAATTGTTGGAGATCTAAAACTTTAATAAGGCAAGCGTTCAAACGGCACTTGGAATGATAGTCGAACGTCTGTCGCACAATGTTGCCTAGCGCATTATTTAAAGACTTAAAACAGTTAACTTAATACGTTTGATAATAAATTGCCACATATTTATTTAATTGTTGGAGATCTAAAACTTTAATAAGGCAAACGTTGAAACGGCACTTGGAATGATAATCGAACGTCCGTCGCACAATGTTGACAAGCGCATCATTTAAAGACTTAAAACTATCGTCACTAGGAAAATCGTTCGCAGAATGAAACGATTCATCATCAGACAACGTGAAGTTATAATTATAGTAATGAATAGTAATAATAACAATATAAAAAGTATTAAATAAAGTCGCTTTTTTGTGTTGTACGCTTAGATCTCTTAAACTAAACCACGGATTTTAATGTGGTATGCACCAATAGAGAGAGAGTAATACATGCATATGATAGTAGAGAAAATCCGAGAATTTCGAAGATTTGTCGTAAAAAGCATATTTTTGTGCGCTTACATTGCAAAGGCTGGCTAAACCTTACGAGGTAGACCAAAATAATGTACTACAGAATTGTACATCTTAAAAAGATCTATAAAAAATCTGCGATGATATATGCCTATCTCCTAAGGATAACCCACAGTAACCATTTTTATCTTTTGAATATTACAAAAAAAAGGGCATTTCCAAAGCTATTTTAAACAATACATTATTATTCCTTATCTAATTAAATACGTAAGATACTTTGTGCATTTGATGTAGTTTAAAACAACATATCATTAAAATGAATATTTTAGAAGATGTTAGAGGTTTAAAATGCGGGAGCAATGCGGCCGGTTGCCGCGTCGGGCCCTACGTCCATCCCGGGTGCGATGCGAGAGGGCCTATAAATATTGCATATAAAGATGTCCTGGAGTATAGTCCTATCATAATAATAGATAATTAATTACTCCACACTAACACCACATTATTAGTATCACATAGTTAGACAAATATTTAAAAGAGCAAAAAAAGCACATCTTTGAACCTTGTCATACCAAGCTAAAGTTTAAAGATACGAAGAATATTATTGATGCGATGTGAATCCGAACGTAGCTTGTCGGGCGTGTGTCAATACTACTTGAAATAAAACGTCACAAACAGAACAATGATGGTTATTACTAGTTATTGATAATAATACTTAGTGGAAATATAGTAACACAATGAATTGAAACAGTATGAAATATAGTAGGGCCGACTTAATAGCAATTACATAAGTACATTACACATGCAATTTTATTTAGGCAATACTCTTTTCTATTAATAGTGCAAATCGATACAGTCAGTAAATCGACTAATCTACTACGGCCCAAATATCGCCGATCGCCTCGATCCCTTGGAGTTACGTAAAGATGTAGCTTCACGCTGCATCCTCTTGCGTATATTTCTTAGAGAGCACTCCGAGGAATCGTTCGGACTACTACCGACCCCAACTTTTCGCCATTGTTCCACATGGCAAAATTTTCATCCACATTACTTGGATAATCGGCACTCCACCACCCTGCGCTTTTCAAGACACGTTGCCTCGCACAACCAATCTGTGGCACAAGTTATCGTCTGCTGTATTTTCGGACCGATACGACCTTAAATCCAAAAAGAGCCTACTCTTTCCTAAAAGGCCGGCAACTCGTTTGTACGCGACTCCTGAGTTGCAAGCGTTCAAGGGCAGCGGTAGTCACTATCCATCAGGTGACCCGTCTGCTCGTCTGCCCCCTCTTTCATAAAAAAATATCCCACTGGCAGTTTCAGTTTCTCATGCTATATAGAAGCAAAATTAAATGTGAATTACCTAGACATTAATTAATTAGACAAATAATTCTGTGACAATAAGAAGGTGTCCTAGAATTTATGAGAAATTTTATTGTAAAGCTTAACGAAATTTACAAATTCATTGCTTGTGCAAATGGTGCCATACTATTATCCCCTGATGTAGATAAAACACCAATCAACACCGTTAAACTTTTTTACATTCATTAATAAAGAAAAGGAAGCTGGCAAGTTAGTCAAATCAAAACAAATCGACCAAATCCTTTATTTCTCTAGTCTTAAGTTTAAGCCTTGTATCTATTGGTTTCGCTTGACTTGACTAAAAGTTATCTTGGAAAACTCTCTACACAAAGTGCACAAACAAATTTGAAAGTGCATTAGCGAAGAGCAGTCGCGTGGCTAGTGTCGGTTTCGGATGAGGACGACAGTCCAAGATTGTATTATGGATATTCTATAAACGGCGGGTGCAGCAAGTAAGATAGCTATTTCTATAACAACTTTTTCATAGGACTTTACTTAAATGTTATCTATGGTAGCAAGCGCCAAGCAATAGTAGTAGGTACTGTAGGTAGTCATGGAAATTATTGTTACTTTTAAATCATATACATGTGATGAAATGATTTCTTTTAGTCACAGCGATTTCAAATGGAAGTGTGATTTCGTCAGAGATAAAGATAAATGGCATTAAAATCAATTAAAATTCTTTTTATCAAAAATTACTACCTTTTTTTTTAGATTTTTACCTTTCGCGAGTCTTGAGCTAGTGTAATAATAACAATTGAGTAGTCGTGGTTCTCTTAATCAGTCACAGGTGTGATTATATGATTTAAAAATCATATGATTTATGATATGTGTTTGTGATTTTATTCCATCCCTATTAGTATAGTAGGCAGGCGGTAGCAGGAGGGCGTGACGTTTGATTCGTTTATCGTTTGTACTACATAATTTCATAAATAATACACCATACCATAAACCAGCCAGTAATCAGTATCGTGTTTGTTGATTGCGGGACTAGTCAGTCACTTGCAATCAGTTCTAAGTTTATTGCCCGTTGTTATTAACGGGCCATTGGTTATTAATCGAAATTATATATTTATCTTTTTAAAATGTCTGTGATCGGTAAGATCGTGCCCAGCATATCAAGCTTGAATTTCGGTCGAATTAACGCTGCGCTAAGCAATGCTAAGCGTAGAACATATTTCACATATACTCAGGAGTTGTCGCAGCCTCTGAATAGGAGTCCTGAGGTTCTAACCGCAAACCAGGCCCTGGAGAAATGTTTAAAATCTGGTGAGTGCTCCATAAATTAAGTATATCTTAATACGATTATTAAAGCGAGGCAGATCCTGTTTGTTAACCTTTTAGCTTATAAATATTAATTGGTTTGCAAGTTTCTGTACAGTAGTCATTAAACTTGACCATCTTGATGTTAATTTATCGTACGCACTTTTGGTCTGTTCAGCAAATAAAGTCATACGTATTGATTTATACCTTTACCGGGACTCGTACTTATCTAGTTTTACATAATTGTCTTAATGCTAATCAGCATACACATCAAATTTGATATTATCATTAATTCAATAAAAGTAATATTTCTAACTTAAATTATTTTTAATTATTACTATACAATGTTCTGCCATTTCTTCTTAAACTGTAAGATTCTAAATTCAAACTTTTTAAGATTCAGTCTAAACTATCAAAGCCAATTAGTTAGTCATATAGGTACAAAGTACAAACAGTTACTCTTTAGTGTACCTTGAACCTTAAAATTACACTGTTAGAAATGACTTTTCAATGTATCACATATTATGACTTCTGGTGACTGTGCTCATTTAATATAATATATTGTGCTTGTTAAAACTATTAGCTACAATAATGTAATTACTATCTTTAACTGATACTACAAATATACCCTCACCTCTGTTATCTCTGAAGGGGTACCACAATAGGATAGATGACTGTCAAGTCAAATCTGTTTTTTTTATTAAACGTCAAAACATTAGACACCGTAAATTGATAATTGAGGACAATTCATACAATTTTCTTTTACTTCTAACACACAACACCATTTAGTTTCAAGCTACCCAGAGCTTGTACTATTAAAGCTAGATTGACTGATAGAATACTCATATACATTTTTTTTGTAAATACTTACATAATATACATAGAAAACAAACTCCTTACAAACATTTGGTTCAACACGTGAATCGAACCGGAGACCTCAGCACAGCAGTCTCACTACCACTGCACTACTGAGACAGTTGAATTTATTTTAAAACTCACAATCCCACATTATGCCAACTGTAATTTTAATGACACATAATAGGTGTTAAGCTTATTGACATTAACAGGAATAAATATATATTTCTAAGTACACAAAATACATATTACATTGTAGATAAATAATGCCCATCATCAGCCTTTAAGTAAGCCTATCCTTAGATAGGACATTTTGGCCTACTATATCATGCTGGCCAGATGGGATGACGTAGTTTCTAGATTTCATTCTCTTTGCAGTGTTGTTGTGCTGGGTAGTTTGATCCATTAGTCGGCTCTTACGACACCCATGGGATGAATCCATATTCATAATCCATCACCACACGGATATTATGCTCATAATGCAATATTTATCCTGCATCCCAGCCCTGGATCTAGTTATGGGGTTATTTATCTCAAGCGCTGGAGAGAGGGGGCGCTATTATTAAGTTTCGTCCCCGGTTCAAAAAAATCGTAGATCCGTGGCTGCTGCATACAAATCACATCCACAACCTCTGGTTTAGCAATCAGGACCTCTAATTACTAGACCAACAGGCAAATATTGTAAGTGCAAACATAAGTTTGCTTCTTACTCTGTTACACCTGTATTACTTGCATATTTATATATGGATACTAATATTATAAAATATTTGTAAAATATTTGTATGTCATCTCATAAAACACTTGACTCAACATGCTCACACATTAAAAGCTATCACAGAATATTAATCAATAAAACACTTATGTCTGTACATTTTACATTTTTTTACATTTAACGGAATTTCTCAATTCGGTATTAAATCCATTTTTAAATTATAAATGCGAAAGTGTGTCTGTCTGTTACCTCTTCACGCTTAAACTGCGGAATCGATTTAGATGAAATTTTGGTAGTAGTAGTAGATAGTCCGAGTCCTGGGAAAGAAAATATCCAGAAATCATCCTTTATAGGGGGTCGAAGTTTGAATGGGGAATCAAGAACCGCTGAACCGATTTAGATGAAATCTGATATCAAGATACTTATAATTCTTGAAGAAAGATATTGCCTACGTTTTACCACGATAACTGACATTTACGCGGGCGAAGCCTAGTGCTAGTTCTATATAATTATAGTCTAATGGGTATAGAAAAGGCTTCTATTTAAATAATATTTAATACTGTCTAGGAATATTATAAATAATTTAATGAAATTATATATAAAATATCTAAATTGTTAGGTTCATCTATCAGATTCATGTTTTAAAATGCACATTTAAATCACATTGTAATAAATAATAAGTTGATACATCTTACATGCAGCTGTCTAAAGAGTAAATAGGCTGCTGATAAACATACTTCTATATTAATTCTAAATACAAGAATATGTTATAGATAAATTACACTCAGACACTCATCAAATCAAAACATACAACTGTAATGGAGAATTTTTTTAATTTTACTGGCATTTTTTTGGGTGTTCGCTCAATGAGTTCACAAAGGCCATATATTGCGTACTGAGTAGTTCTAGTTCTTAATTATTGTTATTTTTTACGTATTTTTTCATAGATTTGTTTGTTTTTTTTGTAAGTCTTGCAGTATTGTATTGGTCTAGCTGTAATAATAATGTATAGTATGGTATAAATAAATAAATAAATATTTCGGATTTAATATTTGTTGACTATCTATGGTATATTAAATTGTAACAAATAAACTCAAATAAATGAGTTAAAGAAATCTTAAAAATGTAAATTAATACTAGATACAACTTGAAAAAATGTTTAATTAAAATAATGATTGTTGTTGTTGAATATCAAGTAAGTTTAAATGAACAATTGTTAGATTTTATATGTATGCAAATTTATTTCATGTAATTTGGAAACCGCTCTATTTCGATCAATTTTTCAATTTAGATAAGGTATTTATCCTTATCTAAATTATATTATACTAGATTATTACTTACTGCAAACGCAGCATTATCTAATAACTTAGTATTATTTTAACTTACCGTAACACAAAGTGGCTGCTTTTATGTTCTCCAACATTATTACAGAAATAATGCAATATAGGGTTTGTTCGTGAAATACTAGCCTTCGTCAATTAGTAACTTAAACCTATCTAAATTTGTGTGATCGAAAGTTGATTGGAACTGAATTAACTTTTATTACGAGAATATGCCTTTAGGGCTTGAGTTAAAGGGCCGGAAGCATCTCCCCCGGCTACAAACCTAGAGCATTCCTGAGGACCTAGTGTGAGTTTATTTGTTTAGAGTTTTCACAAATTGCAGAAAAGCTAGGGGAAAGATGTACCTATCAATAAATAATTCTATGTTAACAAGTTCCAGAAATTCGGTGTGTTGCTTATGTGTTAATAAATCTATACTACATATAAAAAAAATCTATAAATACATATAAAACTACTTGCCGTGACTAACCTAACGAGCCTCCACCGCTACGGCTGCAAAACTCGTAATTTTGACAGCTGAGGCTTTTTATGTTGTAAACACCCATTATGAAATGATTTTTTGACTACACGGATGGCGTAATGGTTTAAGCGGTGGCCACGCCGCTTACTACGCTAAGTGTTGTGGGTCCGATCCCCACATGGAACGACACTTTATGTGATCCACAAATTGTTGTTGTTCTTTGTTTTCGTTTCAGGTATGTTTGTAAAGTCCCCCGCGACACAGGATATATTCCTAATGTGGGAGTTGTCTTAAAAAAAATCTCCAATTTCCCCCCCAAGCGGATTAAAATAACGGATGTATGGAAGCCGGTCATATTAAAAGTTAAAAACAGGAAATAAGAAATATCACGCTAGCGAACCCGCGAGCCATTGCTAGTAGAGTATAATAATCCAATCAGAACATAATAGTTAATTAACAACGGGCGAAGATACACAGAAAAAAAACGCATTTTCATGCTCAAGGACCTTCTTTGTTCTAGTGAGATATCAAGAATTAATAATTTAGGTACTTTTTTATTTCTTGCTTTTGGTGATGTATTCATGTAATTTTAAAGTTACAATACATTGCTATGTAACCAAATGGTAATAGTCAATCTTTATACAACACAAAAAAGCACCAGCTGCACAAAATTTAGAATTTATAGTCCCGAGCGGTCTAGAGAAATTACTTGGCCTAACTGAGAGATCAACGCGATCAGCCAGTCAGTAGATGACCGTTAAAGTAGAGTTGCAAAAACACTAATTCATTAATGGAGATTGTGGGTAAATATTTAAACCACTGTATTATAATAATTGAAAAAAAAAGTAGCTGATTTATTAATCTCTTATTTTCGTGAACGGCTCAGCCATCATGTGATGGCTGAGCCGTTCACGAAAATTCCGTTCACATCACATCAATAGGCTTTAATAGTCCACTGCTGGACATAGGCCTCTCCTTAGAAAGGAGGTTTTGACCTACTGCGGCTCAGCCGTACTTGACTTGACTTGACTTTTTTTATGTTAGAGGGGGCAGACGAGCAGACGGGTCACCTGATGGAAAGTGACCATCGCCGCCCATGAACGTCTGCAACTCAGGAATCACAAACGCGTTGCCGGCCTTTTAGGAAGGAGTACACTCTTTTCTTAAAGGTTTGAAGGTCGTATCGGTCCGTAAATACTGCAGACGATAACCCGTTCCACAGATTAGTTGTGTGAGGCAAAAAGTGTCTCGAAAAACACAGTAGTGGACCAACTATCCAGGTAATGAGGATGAAAATTTTGCCGTGTAGAACGATGGCGGAAAGTTGCGACTGGTATTAGTCTGAACAATTCCTCGGAGCACATCTCTACGTAACGCCAAGGGATCGAGCCGATCGGAGATATTTGTTTGGGCTATCGACGATTCGAGTCGCTCTTCGTTGGATGCGGTCCAGAGGGAGAAGCTGGTACTGAGGTGCCTCTGCATAGAGATAAGAACTGTATTCCATATGCGGCCCGACTTGCGCCTTATAGAGCTGAAGGCGGTGGGCCGGAGTGAAATACTGCCTCGATCTGTTCAGCATACCGAGCTTCTTTGAGGCCAATTTGACCTTACCCTCCAAGTGACCCCGAAACTG